GAGAGGAAGCAGATGGTGGGTCAGGTGCTTGGCCCCTGCTACCTATGGCAGAGACCTGGATTGATTTCTGGGCTCCTAGCTTCAGCCTGGCCTACCCCTGGCTATTCTGGACATTTGGAGAGTGAATCAGCAGATAAAGATCTGTGTGTGTGTGTGTTTTGTGTGTGTTTTCTCTCTCTTTCTTTGCATTTCAAATAAAATGAAAATAATAATTTTTTAAAGAATAGCAACAAGGAGATAGAAATTATAAAAAGAACTCTATTAAAGTTGCAGAAGTAAAAATTACAATAACCGAAACAAAAATGTCACTAGAGTTTCAACAGCTAATTTCAGCAGGCAAAAGAATGAATTAGCAAACTTGAAAGTAGGTCAGTTGAAATTATTCATCTGAAGAGCAGAAAATAATAATGAAGAAAAATGAACAGAGCTTCAGGAATCTATGAGATATCATCAAGTGTACTGCAAATGCATAATGGACCAGAGTGGAGATAAGGAAAGAGGCAGAAAGAATATTTGAAGAAATAACCCTGAAAATTCCCAAATTATCAAAATAAATGAATTCGCACATCCAAGGAGCTTTAAAAAACACTCAAATAGAGCAGGCATTGTAGCCCAGTGGGTTAAGCCATCAAGTGGGATGCCCACATCCCTAATGGAGTACTTGTGATTCAGTGCCACCTTCTACTTCCAACCCAACATTCTAATAATGTCCTTGGGAGGAGCAGATGATGACTCAACTACTTGGGTCCCTGACAGCAAAGTGGGAGACCTGGGTGGAGTTTCTGGCTCTTGGTTTTGACCTGGCCCATCCCTAGCTGTTGCAGGCACTTAGAAGTGAACCAGTGGATAGAAAATTTCACCCTGTCTCTTTCTGTCTGTCTCTTCCTTCTGTCCCTTCTTTCTCTGTCAAACAAATAAATAAAACATTAAAAACAATACTTCAAGAAGAATAAACACAAAAGACTCACATTGATACATTATAACCAAACTGCCAAAGGACAAAGAGTTTTTTAAAGAAGAAATCCTGAATGCAGCAAAAAGAGAAGCAATTCCGCATATGAGAATCTTCAAGATCAACAGCCAATTGCTCAGCAAAACTCATGGAGGCAAGAAGGCAGTGGGATGACATACTTCAAATACTGACAGAAAAATACTATCAACCAAGGATTCTACATCTAACAAAACTATTATTCACAAGTAAAGAAGTTAAGACTTTTTTCCAGATATGATTAAGAGTTCATCCACAATAGGCATGCCAATCAAGAAACTCTAAAGAAAGACTTTCAATTAGAAATGAAGGAAAACAGATAGTAATTTGAAGCTATATGAAGAAATAATGAATGCTGATATATGCACTTATCTAGGTAAATGTAAAAGTCAAAATTACTGTATTTTTGGTTTCCAAGTTTTTTTCTTAAATTACTTAAATGACAGCTGAATAATTATAAATTCATAGTAACTGCACAAAATTTAGAAACATGTAGTTTGTGGCTGGCACCGTGGCTCACTAGGCTAATCCTCTGCCTGTGGCAACGGCACTCTGGGTTCTAGTCCCAGTTGGGGTGCCAGTTCTGTCCCAATTGCTCCTCTTCCAGTCCAGCTCTCTGCTGTGGTCCGGGAGGGCAGTGGAGGATGGCCCAAGTGATTGGGCCCTGCACCCGCATGGGAGACCAGGAGGAAGCACCTGGCTCCTGGCTTTGGATCAGCACAGCACACCGGCCACAGCGGCCATTTGTGGGGTGAACCAATGGAAGGAAGATCTTTTTCTCTGTCTCTCTCTCTCACTGTCTAACTCTACCTGTCCAAAAAAAAAAAAAAAAAGAAAGAAAGAAAGAAAGAAAGAAATATGTAGTTTGTGACAATATAAAATGAGAGGAATAGAACTATATTGGCAAAGAATGCTTTATATCACTGAAATTAAGATAGTCTTAATTCAAAATAGGTTGTTATAAATTTAAGAGATTAATTATAATCCCCAGATAACCACAAAGAAAACAATAACTAAAAAATATACATTTAAAGGAATAAGAAATGAGTCAACATTGCAAACTACAAAAAAAGTCAATTTAACATAAAGTAATACAGTAATGGAAGAATTAAGGAAAAATAATATATGATATATATTAAACAAATAGCAAAATGTCAGAAGCTATGTCCTTCCTTACGAGAAATTATTTTAAATGTAGATGGATTGACCGCCGGCGCCGCAGCTCACTAGGCTAATCCTCCGCCTAGCGGCGCCGGCACACCGGGTTCTAGTCCCGGTTGGGGCGCCGGATTCTGTCCCGGTTGCCCCTCTTCCAGGCCAGCCCTCTGCTGTGGCCAGGGAGTGCAGTGGAGGATGGCCCAGGTGCTTGGGCCCTGCACCCCATGGGAGACCAGGAAAAGCACCTGGCTCCTGGCTCCTGCCATCGGATCAGGGCGGTGCGCCGGCCGCAGCGCGCCAGCCGTGGCAGCCATTGGAGGGTGAACCAACGGCAAAGGAAGACCTTTCTCTCTGTCTCTCTCTCTCACTGTCCACTCTGCCTGTCAAAAAAAAAAAAAATGTAGATGGATTGAATTCTCTAATTAAAGGATACACATTGTCAGAATGTATTTTTTAATGATGCAACTATACGCTGTCAATGTCAGATCTTATTACTTCCAGACACAAATAAGTTGAAAGTAAAAGGATAGAAAAATGTACTCAATAGTTCTATATAGGATACTGTAACCAAAAGAGAGCTGACATTGCTATACCAATATCATACAAACTACGATTTTAGTAAAAAACTGTTACGAGAGAACTAAATTACACATTGATAACAAAGTATCAAGAAAACAACAGGATATAGTAATTATAAATCTATTTATACCTAAAAGTAGAACTCCAAAATGTATGAAGCAATATTGACAGACTCAAAGGGAAAATGATAGTTCTGCATTAATAGCTATTTCAGTGTTTCAGTTTCAATAATGAATAGAATGCCTAGAGAATATTTCAACATGAAAACGCAACCTTATAAGCCAATTATATCTAAGAGACATAAAGAATATTCCACCCAACAATATCAATAAGCGTTCTTCTCATGGAATATTTTCTGGAATAGACCATATGTTTGGCTATGGAACAAATCAATAGATTTCAAAAGATTGAAATCTAAGTATCTTCTCTGAACATAGTAGGATGAAGTTAATGATCAATAACAGGAGTAAATCTACAAAGTTCAAAAATATTTGGAAATTAACACACTTTTAAAACAACCAAAGTGCCAAAGAAGAAAGCACAAAAGAAATGAGATAATACCTTGGGATGAATGAAAATGAAAACACAACACACCAAAACTTAAGGGTACAGCAATACTAATAGATATAGATTTGCACAGCAGAATTCCATAAGGATATACACCAAAATGTTAATAAAAACTTTTTCTTAAGGGTTCGGGAGAAACTGTTTTCCATGCCTGAGTTTCCTACTTTTCCTATGGTAACTACATTTAACTTAGAATATGGAAGAACAAATCTAATACAACAAGGCCCATTCAAAGCGGCAAACCACAGCCTATCACCTCTCTCACCCGAAACACGATGTCTTTTTCCTCTAGACATTTATAAATACAGGCAGACCACCCACAAATTTATATTCAACAAACCCTTCTTGAGCACCTATTATGTTGGGCTCTACTACATAAATGATTTATTTCACTTTAGTGTACCTGAATTCCCCTTTCTGTTCCTAGGTATGGCACCAAGGGTACCCACTCTCCCTGTCACACTTCGATCACAACTCTTTGTATTTGGACTTTCTGTCACATCTCTAATGACTGAATACAATAAAAATCCTTAGCGATGGAGTGTCTGGCATCAGACCATCATTCCTTGGCCTGCCTCAGTGATTTTTTTAGACTTCATAAAGTGAAAATATACTGTCCAACTGCTAAAAGGAGACAGCCAGCTGACTCTGAAGTACATTCTTAGGATTTATTTCAAAAAAGGCAGCGCCAAATCTAAAACCCAGACCCTGGGCCACCACCACTAAGTGAAGGTTCTCCACTTGTTCAATATTCCTTCTTGTGTTCTCCACACCATCCCCTTTCTTTACAGCCTTTCTTTCTGGGATTCCTGCTTGGCGTCCTCCTCCTAACCTTCCTTTCTGCTCTAAGACCACCAGATAGCAGGATTTTACAAGCCAATCTCCTTGGATCGCCCTCCCTCTGGCAGCCCAGCCTTCGATCCTATGTCCAGGTCAGCAAGCGAACACCTTAGGGCTTGAGTTTCCACAGCCACGGCAGTCCTTCCCAGTCGGGATACTAAAGAGCTGTTCACCCACCTTTCAAGACAGGGAAGAGGCTATTCCTGCAGGCACCAACTGCCAAGGAGTGTGTGCGGGTAGGAGCCCCGAGCGATTCTGTAATCTACGTGTGAGGAGGACTAAACTTTCGATACCACCGACAAGACTGGCAACGGTACTATTCGCAAAGACAGTATCGACAAACAACAAGTGAACGCGATTTGGCTGCATCACCACAATACCATCTGGAGTTAAGAAGACTAACATCGAGCAGCACCATTTGCTGGCGGCGCCCAATACTAATGCACTGCGCAGCCCAACTGTGAGGAGAGACAAAAGTCAGTACCCAACAAAACGTGAACTCACTCCGTGGGCAGTCAGAACCTCTACCAGCTAAGAGGGCCTCGGCTGGCTGGCCGCACGCTCACCTGCTCACATTCTGGAAGTCGTTCATTGGAGGCGCGGTGCCGAAGCACCCACTTCGCCACACAGCGTGGTGAACTTCCGCGAAACAAGGAGCGCCGGTTCCCATGCCGCAGGACACCTAGCCAGCTGCTAGGGGGTAGAAAGCCTGGCTGCCCTGGTGTGGAGATCACCTGCTCTCAGGAGAAAGCCTCGCCCCAGTACTGGCATTCATTCTGCAGCGTCAGCAGAAGGACGCTCCTCCCGCTCTGACGTGGCTGGCGTCAGGCCAAGGGCAAGGCACCGCCCACTCCCTCGCCCCACCCCGGAAGGAACAAAGCCACAAAGCCTGCGCATGCGTGCTGCCAGAAGGTCGTTTAGACAGCAGCCCGGCCCCACCCACAGCACTGAGGAAGCTAGGCCAGTCATCGACGCCAGAAAATGGATGAGTCCCCAGAACCAGCTCTAGTCGAACCCTTGGGACATGGAAACACAACCACACCGCCAACCGTTGACCCTACTGATGACCAAGAAGATGAAGAGACAAACCAGGTCAACGGTGAGGCAGAGTACCCAACTGATCACAGAGAATATGATCTGTTTGACCAAAGATCTTCTGAACAGATTTATGAGGAAAAGGCACTCAACCAAACTGAAAGCGAAGAGTATGGACAGATCGAGCACCAGGTGTCTGGCCTGACGGATAGAAGAGCTCCTCAACACATGGAACGAAAATTGTCAAGACAGGCTGAGAGAAGAACTTCAGAGCAGACTGACCGCAGGACGTCCATGTCCTCCGACCGCAGGATGTCCTCGTCGTCTGACCGCAGGATGTCCACACCGTCTGACCGCAGGATGTCCGTGCCGTCTGACCGCAGGGCCTCTGAGCAGGCTGATCGCAGGCTGTCCAGCCAGGCTGAGAGGAGGGTCTCTGAGCAGACTGACCGCAGGGTGTCCACGTCGTCTGACCGCAGGATGTCCTCGCCGTCTGACCGCAGGATGTCCATGCCGTCTGACCGCAGGGCCTCTGAGCAGGCTGATCGCAGGCTGTCCAGCCAGGCTGAGAGGAGGACTTCGGAGCAGGCTGATCGCAGGCTGTCCAGCCAGGCTGAGAGGAGGACTTCCGAGCAGGTTGATCGCAGATTGTCTAGCCAGGCTGAAAGGAGGACTTCCGAGCAGGTTGATCGCAGATTGTCTAGCCTAGCAGAGAGAAGAGCTTCGGAACAGGCTGACACCAGCTTGTTCATATCATCCGACCAAAGGGCTTCTGAACAAATTGACAGCAGGTCATCTGACCAGGTGGAGAGCAGAACTTTGGAGGATTCTGAGCATAGACTTTCTGGCCTGGCTGACCAAAGAACTCCTGAACAGACTGATCAAATATTGTTCAATATATTTGAGAGTACTTCTGAGCACACTGTTCAGGGATTGTCTGATCAAGTTGACCATAAAACATCTGTAAAGACTCAGCTAGCTGAACAGGCTGTTGACCAAGCTGAAAACTATACTGATCTTACTGTTGACAAGGCTGACTTCAGTGAACCTTACCAGGTGGACGACTTAGTGGACAAACAGGCTGATGACCTGTCTTCCAATGGATCATTTGACCAGTATAACAGAGTATTTTCTCAGTTCCGTGACAGCAAGGAGGATAAAGAGGCTGAGTACAGAATAGAGCCCTGCAAATTTGAAGATAGCCAAATAAACCTCAATTCCAATAGTTCAGTTGCAATGGAAACTGAAACTGAAAGTCCAACCACTGTCTCAGCCCACCACCTACTGGATACCAGATTCACCAGTAATTTTGTAGCAAAAGATCCAGACTTTTACCAAAAATTCCCATCCATCTCATCCAAATATGATAACACCAGTCGAGAAAACACCCAATCCATAGAAATCAATCCTGTAGGTTCAAGGGGTATTTGATTCCTACTTAGGAGGACAAAACAGGCCCTACGGGGGTGGGGGTGGAAGAAGAGGGATAAGCAGTAGGAGGGCACTTGTAGGATTAGGATGAAAAATAAATCCACACATGTTTTGGTGTGTGTGGCCCATAAATTTCAGGAAATGCGGGAGAAAGGTGGTGCTCTCTGCTATCCTAAGAAAGGCCATTCAAAAAAGATCAATGAACCAGGATTTTAAAACCTAGGTTTCAAGTCCTAGATTTGCTATTAACTCCATGACAATAATCATTTCCCTTGTCTGGGTTTCTACCAAGGGAAAAGAATTTAGAGTTCACTGGAGAGCCCTGTAAAGGACAAAAAGTATTTAAAGTAGATTGGAGATACCTAAGGTACCTCCCAGGGCTTCAGGTACATTGTATTTCTGGGACAGGCAGCCAGTTATCTCATAAATATGTGTCTCTTCTCCAATTCCTAGTGTCAAGATTCTAACAACATCAGATTTAGATTTTAGATTTATTAAGAACCCTGGGGGGATATTTCAATTGCAGGATGATTTTTCAGAATTCGAGCAAGAAAGGAGTTATATGGAAAAGCAAACTCATAAGAGGAAGTTCCCTCCCATAACATATGAAGATCCTTATGAAGTTTCACTCCAATACATGGAGAAACATCACATTCTACAAATATTCCAGGTAAACCTCTCAATCCCTCTCCGTAGTTGTGAGTTTTTCAAGAGGTACAAGGAAGGGTTTTTGCTGTTAAAAAAAAAAAAAAAAAAAAAGATGGTGGGGTGTGATGTGATATATTCTAATTGAGAAGTCAGTAAGTATAAAAAGATGTATTTGCCAAAAATAATAAGTGATGAACACCAAATGAGTGAGAGTGTGGTATGAAGTCCTTCGAAAGGATTACAGATCAGGTAAATTGGTTGATAGGGGAAAACCTTGGCCAAAAGTTAGTTTTAGCCACATCAGCAGGAAAGGACAAGATATTGGCAACTGAAAATAGATTAAAAAGTCTTCCAGGCAGGAGTCTGATAGCTTCAGACAGCAGACCTTGTACTATCGAGAATGACTTATTCAGGGAGATGGATTAAGGTAATTGCTCTGAATCTAATCCATGACTCGACTGATTGCTAGCATCTTCTTTGAAGTATGGTAGTCCTTGGCCAATGTGGAATTGATAAGGCATATTCAAAACTATAATTTGTCTTTCAGTATTTGGTGGGTTGTTCTTGCTTGCCTGGCACGATTTTTATCTAAGTATTGTTTACCCAATAACAGATACATATATAATAAAATATGTACCTGAAATAAATTTGTAATTAGAAAAGTATAAAATAAGACTAGCCCCCATAAAATGAAAACTTTTAAGTTGGAAAAGTTTAAATTTAAGTAAGTAGAGGAAAGAGCACAAATATTGCAATTTGTTAGCCCAGCGTTCAAATCCTAACTTTGCCATTTCTTATCTTTGTGATTTGAGGAAAATTACTTAAATTCTGTGAACCTCAGATTCCTCAAATAAAATAGGGATAAAAGATAGCCACTTCATTAACACTATATGCATTTTCCTACTTAAAATTCCTTGTTCTTGGGAAGGTACTAATAGCTAGGTTTCTGACTTTAGTCGAAGAACTATTAATTATTAATGTGAAAAATGAAACCTGTTGAAGAAAGTAGTTTTGGTTACCCTATACTTTATCTATCAAGAAAAAAAAATAGTGCTTATGCATACAACATCATTTCAAGAAAGATTAGTTATCATGTATGTATTAAATAGAATAATATATAAAGTAATTGAACGATCTGGTAGATTAAAAAGACCTGAATATTTCATACTTGAAATTTATCCACTTGTTATTTCCTGCAAGTGAAATTTGTGTTTACTTTATTATAATTTTTTTATTCAAATAACAACCAAAAAGCATTAAAATGATTCTCTGAAGTTTGATATGAGAAGTCTTCAAAAAGCTTCATGGGAAATGCAAAAAGTAGGCATGGATCTCAAAAATTTCTGTACCAAAATAAATTTACCTTTACTTCCATTTTCCATGAACTTTTTGGAGTTCATTTCTACCTGTTTTCTCATCTAATATTACAACTGAACATGTTCTCACGTAAGTATAAAATGCCTCAAAAGGAAGATTCTATATAAAATCATTTTAAAACAGTTTTAAAATTTTTATTCAAAAGGTTTTTCTTTGTTCTGCAAAGCAAATAATTATTTTCTCAATCTAGCAAGATCACAATTCTCAAAAAAAAGACTATTCAAACCTTTCTCACTACCTCTTTGATCTTGGGCATTAGGAAAACTACCTATTGCTATTCATTACTAAATTTTGACACCTCTAAGTCTTACCTTAATTTGACTTAATTTTATCAGTGGCAAGAAAGTAAGTTTCAAATTTACAGTGTTAAGTGAATTTTTAAAATGCTATGGTACATGTTAAGTTAGTGGGAAAATCATGTGAGATGTAACTTGGACTGTGTAACTTCTACCCAAAATCATGTGATGCTTTATGCTCTCTCTCAGAAGATCACTGAAAACTTAGTTTATGAGAAACCAGAGGACCCTCTGCATTTTATGCTGCGCCAGGTATGGAATGGAATCAAAGAACAATCTTTTTATTCTCAGCATTGTAAAATACAACCCATATACAGCAAAGCATACATAACAAAACATATACAACTCTGGAATATCATAAAGTACACATACCTGTAACTACTATTCAAGTTTAAAGATACATATATACTGACAGTATCCTAGGAACTCCCTTCCTTCCTCTCATGGCTATTACTCCCCACCCGAAGGGACTGCTATTCTGAATTTTATGAGACACTTTGTCACTTTTCCTTATAATTGCATTCAACATGAATCATGAGACACTTTTATTTAGATTTGTCAGATTTTGGAGCTGTATATAAACTATGTATTCACTTATATTTGGTTTTCTTGCTCAAAATTTTATCTTTAAGATTGATCCATGTTGTGTATGCGACTGTGCTTCTTTATTTTCATTGTGTTATAGTATTCATTGTGTCGAACACTACAATTTATCTATGCTACTTTTGAAAACATCCAAGAAATTTTTAGCATGAAACAATTACAAAAATTTTTGCTATGAGTCTTCCTATACATGTCTTTTGGTGACACATTTCTCATATGATTGTGCAAATTTAACCAACCAGCAGTGTATAAAAGTTTCAGCTATTATCAGTGGTACTAGCATTAGCCATTTTGATAAATATATAGTAAAATCTACAATTTGGCTTTGCTTTTAAACAATTATTTTTCTATTGCTTTGTTTGCATTTTTCTCACTGTCTACAGTGTTCTATAGGTTCTAATTATGAGCTCTTTGTTCTGTTCTGTTGCGATTATCTTCCCACTTGCCATCTTCCCTTTCTATCTCCTAAAATTATCTTCTGATGAATAGAAATTTCTAATTTAATATAGCCAGTTTTTTATGTTATCTCTTAGCATGTTGTTTGTGGTTGATTTTTCAGCCATTATTTCCAGGCCAGCCTCCTCTCCTGGGGATTCCACATATGTATATTTTGGGCCATTTGAAGTTATTCCACAGTTTTCTTGATACTCTATTTATTTATTTAAAAGTTAAAGTCTCTCCCCATTTCACTTTCTCTGTATCCTTGTCTCTGTCCATATATATATATATTTTTGGGGGCGGGGGGGGTGAACTTGCTATTGCTATATTATTGCTAGGTGTTTATTAATCCTTTCTTCTGCAGTATCTAAATTGCTATTAATAACAAAGTTTCAGGGTCTTTTCCATCACACACATTATAATATTCATAATTTTTACTACCAGAAGTTTAATTTGTCTTTTCTTTTTTGATTTATTTATTTATTTGAAAGGCAGAGTTACAGAGGGGCAGAGAGGCAGAGGCAGAGAGAGAGAGAGAGAGAGGTCTTCCAGCCATTGGTTCACGCCCAGGTGGCCATAATGGCTAGAGTTGAGCTGATCTGAAGCCAGGGGCCAGGAGCTTCTTCCAGGTCTCCCATGTGGGTACAGGGACCCAAGGACTTGGGCCATCTTCTGCTGCTTTTCCAGGCCATAGCCGAGTGGTGTATCAGAAGTGGAACAGCCGGGACTTGAACCGGCACCCAAATGGGATGCTGGCACTGCAAGTGGTGGCTTTACCTGCAATACCACAGCACCGGTCCCTAATTTGTCATTTCTACAGCTTTGACATCTCTTCCTTTTGGAACATAGGAAATCTAATTATAATAACTGTTTTAATGTTCCTGCTTGCTAATTCTAACACCTACCAGTCCTAAATTTGTTTCCGGTGGTTGATTCTCCTCATTATGAATAATATTTCCTGCTTCTTTTCATGCTTGGTAATGTTTAAAAATGTTTACATTGATAAATAATAATATACTCATTTATGGGGCACAATCTGACTTCTCAATACATGTATACATTATGGAATGGTCAAATTAGGTTAATCATTCACTACCTCACATATTTATCTCTTTGTGACAAGAACATTTAGAATCCACGTTTAGCAATTTGGAAATATATAGTACACTATCTTTAAGGGTTTATTTATTTATTGGAAAGGCAGAGTGACAGAGAGAGAGGGAAAGACACAGATATCGTCCATCTGCTAATTCTGTCCCCAGATGGCCACAATAAGCTGATCTAAGGCCAGGCTGAAACTAGGAGCCAGGAACTCCCTCCTGATCTCCCACATGAGTGGCAGGATCCCAAGGATTTAGGCCATCCTCTGCTGCTTTCCCAGGCACATTAGCAGGAAACTGCGTCAGAAGATAAAAAAACAAGGACTTGAACCAGCACTCTGACATGAGAATTTAGTGTCATAAACAGCGCTTAACCCACCACACCACAAAACCACCCCTCTCCCCATCTGATGTTCTGATACGTACACATTGTGTATTTTCCAATCAGGGTAAATATATCTGTCTTCTCATACATTTAACATTTCTTTATGGTGAAGATGTTAAAAATTCAATATTCTGTTTTCTTTTTTTTTGGAAAAATATATAGTACATTAACATTATCTATGGTCACCATTCTGTGCCACACAACACCAGAACTTTTATTCTATCTAATTACAATTCAGTACTGGTTAACCAACCTACCATGCCCCTCCCTTGCACAGCTCTGGTTACCAATCTTATACTTTTAACTTCTATGATATCACACATAATAGAGGTCATGTGGTACTTGCTTTCTGAACTTAGTTTATTTCACTTAGCATAATGACCTACAGTTCTATTCATGTTATTGCATACTTTTGTGGCTAAGTAATATTCTATTGTATACATACCACATTTTATTAATCCAATAATCAGTGGATGGACACATAGGTTGTTTACATTTCTTGGCTGCTGTGAATAGTGCTGCACTAAACATGGGAATGCAGATGTCTGTCCAATTTCATTTCCCTTTGATATATGTCCACTAGGGGGAGTGCCAGATCGTTAGCTAGTTCTATTTTTAGATTTTTAGATGTATACTGTTTTCTACAATGGCTGAAGTAATTTACATTTCTACCAACAGTGTAAAGATGTTTCCTTTCCTCCACATACTCATGGCATTTGTTATCTTTTGTCTTTTTGGTAATAGCCAGTCCTACTGGAATGAAGTGATATTCAGTTTGGTTTCGATTTGTATTTCCCTGATGATTAGGAGTGTTGAGCATTTTTTCATGTACCTGTTGTTCATTTACATGCCTTCTTTTTACAAATATATGTTTAGATCTACTTCCTATAATTAATTGGATTATTTGTTTTCTGTTATTGAGTTGCTGGGGTTCCTTAAAGATCCTGGTTATTAACTTCTAATCAGATACATATTTTGTAAATGTATCAAAGTATTTGTATTTTTCTGCCATTCTGCAGGTTATCTCTTTACTTTGTTGGTTATTTCCTTTGCAGTACAGAAGTTTCTTAGTTTGGAAAAATTCCCTTTGTCCTTATTTGCTTTTGTTTGCTGTGTTTTTGGGGTCTGATCAAAAAATCCGTATCTTGTCAATGTCCTAGGAGGGTTCCAAGATGATGGAATAGGGAGGGAGCTTACTGCTCTAGGCTAGGGGAAGATGGTTTTTTTAAAATGGAGAGAGTACATTCTCAGGGGAAAGTTGGGGAGAAAACTGCAGTAGAAAACTACAGAAGGAAGACAGACCAGTGGATCTATGTGGAGGGTGCAGGTGCGAAGCACAAACATGGACACAATATAGGACCCCTACACCCAATAGCCTGAGGGAACTCCAGCTTTGGAGAGTGAGATGAGATCAGACTGCAGCAACATGTGCCACTGGTAATATAGCTAAGGGGAGAGCCTATGAAATCTGACTGGAGTCTTATGGTAAACAGAGTACCTGCTAACATAGCAGAAAAAGGGGGCACTTTTCTCTCTCCCCATCCCCCAAGCAATGGTGCCCAGCAACCAGCTGAAAGATGGCAGGTACCATTTTGGACATACATAACAGCTGTGCCAGATCTTGAGTGCTGCCCAGCAACTAGCCAAGACAAGATGCCATTTTGTCAGTAGCTACAGCAGCAGCTCAGATCTGCGCACCTGGCAACCAGCAGCAAGAAAGAACCACTGTGAAATGAGAAGGAACTACGACCAATGGCTCTTGTGCACACGTGTGATCCAGAGATTTCATCAGGGGAAAAATCATTGTTCCTCATTGACTTACAGTCTATCTGGGAGGATTGACAGGGGGCGAGGCACCCACATAGGTGATGTGCTCTCAGGCTCTCAACATATTACAGGCTATGAGGCTCAAACAGCTTAGGTGTAGCAGCCACAGAAAGCTTGCTCTGGGAATGTCTCTGCCTCTCTGTGAACAGGACAGTGTAGTGAGGTGGAGCAGATCCTAAGCACATTGTGACTGTGAGAGACTTGTGTGTTGAGACTGTGGGAACTCTGCATGAGAGGGTCTTTGGGCAATCACTGTGAGCAACTCCACATACTTAGAGCTTCCTGATTGTCTGGGGTGAATCATTGCAATGAGATCTGTGCTCACACTGAGGACTTCACAGATCCTTTGTGAGGTTTTTATAGTAGCCCGGATGAGTATTGCACGCACTGTGGGCCAACACCTGGGCATTGATCACCTTGGAAGAAATGAGGTGGAGAAGTGATTATGACAACAGAGATGATCAAACCCTCCCTTCTGATTAAAAATAAATAAACAAACAAACAAACACATGAGAGATCCACCATGCCCAACATGGGAATCACCCTAGATACTCACCCCACCCTGGACCACTGACCAAAGATCCCTGGCTTCACTCACCACATGCCTCTGAGTATTCACTGAATGAGCATATACTCTCTAAGCCACAGAGGCATAGTCTAAAGATAAAAGCCATCAGTAAAAAAACCAACAAGTGTCTCCACAAATGCCTAAAAGTAAAAACAGAAATTTAAGAAATAAGAATAAAGAACACAGCATGAGCCCCACTCCAAGGAACACAATAAGCTTCAATATTAGAAGGTAAAGATGAGAGATTGATGAAATTCCTGAAATGGAATTCAAAATAATAATAATAGGATTACTCAGAAGCAATCAGAAGCAAATTAATGAATTAAAGAAA